CAAGGTTTTCTGTAAGGTGTCTGAAAGTACTAAAGCATTTGTTTGAATTCCCAAGACATTCCACTTGTTCTTTCTTTATTGCAGCAACATTATTTAAAACACATTCTTTTATGAAAAAACATGACTCTGGTGACTCCTTATTCTTGTTACACTAACATGGAATGTTTTATGATGCCTTTGGGCGTCCCCTGTGAAATTACTTCATAGGTGAAACTGTCACTGCTGTGGTCTGTAATTTAATTCTTATTATGGGTCATATTTCATAACACGAGGGTCCGCTTTGACTCACAGTAACTGTATGTACCAAGGTTTGTACTACAGATCAAATTACAATATATATCTATTCTACTTGATATTATTAAATGAATAATTAATCCTAAATTGTATGTATGTCTAACGAGAGCAAAACTCTGTAGGTAGCTCCAAGTTCAACTAAAAATCTCAAAAAATTGAGCAAAATAGTGTGAGAGTGCAATCCCCAACTTTTGCTGGTATCTATGGTCAGTTTTATAGATTAATAGCAAAAGTTGCACTATATTTTCAAACACAGATAGTCAGGCAGACAGAGTCATCACAATATAAACAGCCTTCAGTAATTGACTGAAGGCTGTTCAGTCAATTACAGGCTCCAAAACTGGAAACTGTGTGACCATATTTTGGCATTGCAATGTTTTATGTTCTGTGTATTCTTATATGAAGACCATTTAAATCCCTTCTAGAGATAAACTGATCTGGAAATGCCAGAGTTATGATCACTGAGAGTAAGGGGCTGAGCTCAACTCATGAAAAGTAACCCCACACCATAATCCCTCCTGGCACGATGCAGTCAGACAAGTAGCATTCTCTGCAAACACTGGGTTTTCCTCGGCATGAAAGATAGAAACTTCACAGTTCAAATAGGAAGTTGTAATAATAACTACTAATTAAATGCATATGTAAGCAGATAAATGAGTGAAAAAGGTGAGTAAAAAAAGAAACACTCAGGGAAGCCCCCAGCAGCATTGGTCTTTTGCAGCATAATTAAGGGAGGATTCAGGTTCAGACATAGTAAAATGATATAATACAAATAGAAATGCACAATGTATCGCCAACTGCTGCACCTGTAGGAAAAACAAACATAAAACATCTGGAACGGCAAAAATTGAAAATGCACAGGTACATAAATCAACATTTTTTTGTGCCGTGTGTGGGTGAGTTTTTGTTTTGTTCTCTTTGTGTGTGTTTGTTTTACTTTTTACTTTGTACAACACTTTGGTCAACCTGTGTTGTTTTTAAATGTGTGTATAAATAAATGAAATGATTGACTGAGTGATTGATTGATTAATCTACGTAGCCAATTTAATTAACAACTTATATATAACTGCTTATTTCATAGTGTAATCTTCACATCTTCACTTTATCCAAAGCACATTCTTTGTTGATTCTCCCGCTAATTATATTCACAGTATTTCCTCACCTCACTGTGTCTTTGGGGATTTGCTAGGTTAGCTTAGTTTGTAGCTGACTCACTAGTAGCATGGCCTCTTTACTTGTTCCTCCTGCACTTTCCTGCTCAGTGTGTTACTCCTCGACTTCCTTTAGCAGTATTGATACTTATAATAAATGTAGAGATTGGCAGCTCTGGATGCCAGGATTACTGAACTGGAGACTTGGCTTCGCACCCTTAAAAACCTCGTAGCTAGCTAGGCCCCTGTAGCTGGTGCAGCTAAAGGTAGTGTAGGGCCCATTAGCTCTCCCCCGGCAGATTGTCCCAAGCAGCCGGGAACACAGGGTGGCTGGATGATGATGAGGAGGAAATATACTTAAACAGAAGCCCCAGTACACTACCAAACTGTTCATGTGACTGACCATTTTTCCTCACCGGCTAACGGTAAATGCAAAATTGAATAAAATTATAATTCACATTGGCAGTAAGGACAACCAGTAACATAAATCTAAAATTAATATTGAATTGGTGTGCAACTTTGCCAAAAAATGCTAGAATCTGTAGTTTTCTCTTGTCCACTCCCCAGTTGGACCAGGAGTGACATCCTTAGCTGCACGTTCTTTTGAATTTGCTGTCTGTCTGAGTGGTGTCCAAAAAACGATGTGGGCTTTATAGATTATTGGAAAACTTTCTGGGGGAAACCTAGTCTTGTTAGGAGAGACAGCATCCATTTCACTTTGAAGGGAGCAGCTCTCATTTCCAAAAATCTGGCCAAATTTATTAAACCCATCCAAACATAACTACATAACTGTCCAGATTTGGGACCAGGAAGCAGAGTTGCAGTCTTAAACACCTCTCTATAGCTTCTCTCCTTCTGCTACCCCCCAAAACCCCATCTCCTTAGAGTCTGTGTCTGCTCCCAAACAAACAAAAATAATCTAAAAATCTGCAAAAAATGACGTAAAAAACATACAATCACAAAGAAAAAAGAATACTGTATCCACATCTGCACCGAAGAGTAAAAGAGTCAAATTTGATTTAGTAAACATTAGGTCTATCTCTTCCAAGTCCTTGTTAGTGCACAAATTAATAATTAATCAACAAATTGATTTACTCTGCCTTACAGAAACCTGGTTGCAGCAGGAAGATTATGTTAGTTTAAATGAATCAACACCCCCGAGTCATTCTAACTACCAGAATCCTCGAAGCACAGAATCCTGAGGTGCCGATTCAACCATTCATTCAGCCATTTCCAGTAATTTCTTTTTCAAAAACGCACATGTACTTACATTTATTTACATTTATTTACATTTACTTGAGTAGGGTAAGGGGTTGCCACCTCAGCATGCAGTCAAGTTCAATAGAGTCTTGTTAATAACCTAATAATTTTATTCAGGTGTGTTGCATCAGCGACACATTCAAAAGTTTCAGGGCACGGGCCCTTGAGGGATGGAGTTTGACATTTGATGGTCTAAGCCACAGGTGTCGAACTCCAGGCCTCGAGGGCCGGTGTCCTGCAGGTTTTGGATGTGTCCTTGATCCAACACAGCTGATTTAAATGGCTAAAATACCTCCTCAGCATGTCTCAAAGTTCTCCAGAAGCCTGGTAATGAACTAATCATTTGATTCAGGTGTGTTGACGCAGGGTGATATCTAAAACCTGCAGGACACCGGCTCTCGAGGCCTGGAGTTCGACACCTCTGGTCTAAGCCATCAAATGACAATTTTAAATCAGCTCTAAAGATCTTCCTGTCTGCATGGACATACATAGGCATGTCAGTTATCTGCTAGATAGAAACAAATGCTGTGTTGGATTCTTTCCCCTTTAGTTTGATACTATAGGCAGGATATAATAAGGAGCTTGTATCATTTGGACTATTTTGGATATGGGGAAAATGTAATTGGGGAAGCAGTGCAGATATGGTAAATGAGATGACATATGCACAAACATTATCTGTTAGACATTAAGATAAACACATGTTAACATTTCCTTGTGTCACTTCTGTCACACCTTCTCTCTTTCCCTGTATCAGAGCTGAGCAAAGGCTGCATTGAATTCTTTCCTCTTTAGATTGATAAATTAGGCAGGCTATAATAAGCACCTTGCATCACTTTTTTGGATACGGGGAGAATTTGCTTGGAAAGGTATGGTAGATGAGAAGACATATGCACAAACATTATCTGTTAGACAGCAAGATAAACATGCTAACATTTTCCCTGTTTCATTTCTGTTATGAGTTCTCGCTTTCCCGGTATAATAGCTGAACAAAGGCTGCATTGCAATCTTCCTCTTTGGATTAAAACTAAACAGAACACAGCAAATACTTTGTATTAACTGGGCTTTTTTCCCCAAACCCCAAATAATTGTAACCATTTTTGGAAAGGGTTACAATTATTTAAATCACATTAAAGGTTGAAATTAAATTAAGTAATAATGTAGAAGCCAGAACTCCAATTCTATGTGAAACAGGGGTAAGCTGCAGTGTAAACGTTTAGTAGTAGTGTAGTATTCCTCAAAGCACCTCACTGTTACAGTCCACTTTGTGTTGATTTCATGCACAAATTACAGTTATTTTGTGATTCATTAAAATAGTGAATTCATGATTATTAATTAAATGTCTGACTTTACATTACATCCAGAATTCATAAACTTGCCAGTGACAGATTTGCTGGAGTGTCATGAAGTGAATATGGTTGTGACATGTCATTTACGATTAATAAAAAGCATATTTAGCTCTTTTATTTTTCTCACAATATTTTTTCTTAGCATTCAGCCAGTCTTCACCAACAGGGGCAGTATTTGTTAACTACTAACATTTTTATGGTCTATATTCCATATACAAGTCAGCTGGTAGGAGTTTCGCATGCTAAATATAATATAATATTTTGAGCCTGACATGAAAATAAAGCTGTTAAATGTATGATCTAGTTGTGGTTTTTGCTTACTTGTTTTATATGTAAAAGAATGATTAAAAACCAAGTTTTCATGCTGCAAAACAGTAAATTGAGTGTAAAGGTAACACTACAGGAAGAGTTTTAGTAACACTACTTGGTGTAAAATTAATTTAAAATTTTACTCTATGAGAGCTAATTTTTCACTAGAGATCAGTGTATGAATAACACAGTATGGAGTAACATCAACTCTCATCAGTTATTTGAACCCCCAGTGTTCATTTCAAATAAGTCAGTTCAGTGTTAAAAATCAGTGGGATTTTCCTCAAATAGAGTTCATTTATCACTATGATAGAGTAAATAATACGACACTACTAGTAGTGTTAAGTTGTTTTAACACTATGCAGTGTTACTCAGTGCTAAATTTTCACTCTATTTAGAGTTAATTTTACTCTAAAATTTTAACACTATAGAAAGAGTTGATTTAACACCAATTCCAAATGGGACCAAATAGACTCGGGACCAGTGTTAAATTCAACTCTTTAAGTGTTATTTTAACACTGCAAATTTTATTGTGCAGTAGCACAGTTATACTGGCCGTTTGAAATGTCATTCAGGTTGAAGGTACCGCCTACCTTCTATATACTGTGGCCTTCTGCTGGAGTGCAAAGAGACAAGACCACACAGCACTCTCATTTCTTCTCAGCTTTACGACTTGACCTATTACATCTGTCAGGATGGAGACTGTAAGTATAATTTTGGCAGCAATATTTAACTTACATTACTTTTGCTTCTCTCCGAGTCCTATAACTGATATGGAGAGTCTTAAACCATAGTTTAAACATGGAACTGACAGCTGGTGCAAACTTAATCTATACCAGGCTGATGTAACTCTGTTTTTTTTTTTTGTTTGTTTTGTTTTTGTTTTTAATTGACTTTTGATTGAAAATTTGGGAGTCCTGCTCTTTTGGATTTATTTGATGACCTGTGCTATTTACCACATAGTGTAAGTGTGCATTAATCACTTCTTAACTGTTGCTTTGTATTATCATCAACAGTAACGGGTAAGTTACTTAATACAGTGCATTATTGTCTAGTAATACTACTTTCTAGATTTTTTTATTAGATGCAAATATTATTGTAGCCTCAGACAGAAAACATCACCATATCATCAACCTGCCCAACTTTTGTGTCTGTATGTGTGCGTTATCTTACAGAACATGTTTCTCTCGTTTGTCCACGATATATTTATCCCAAGGGAAACACTAAAGGCTAATCTAATGTAAACTAATAATTTTTCTTCACAGGTTATGACAATAAAGAACATGACCTTCAAGGTTAGACAAACCCTGACTGTTGTTGGAGTTGTTAAACCTGATTCCAAAGAGTAAGTACTAGAGTAAGACCAAACTCTATCATGATTTTGTAAATTAGTGAATCATAGTAAAATTGAAAATAATAAAAAGGATAAACTAAAAACTCTTATTGGAACTTTTTGATTTTCAGTAATTGTAGTTTCAACCAAAATGTAACAAAATCGATTCTTGTTATACATTTGGGAGATGCAGCTGTCATCTCCCAAATGTCAGATTTCACACAAAAATGCTAACCAGGTGAAAAATGTCTAAATTTGAATTTGTTGTGAACTGTCTTTGTCTTTTTAAGGAAGCTGAAACCTTAAAAGTACAGCTATGAAACATGTTTTTGTGTTTAATTCTTGTTGTTCTTCTCATTATAGTTTACCTAGTATAGTAATAATTAATAAGTGTTTTAAGCATGTAGCTTTGTGTGTCTGTTCGTTGCAGGTTTGCAGTGAATATTGGCCCCAGTGACGACAGAATTGCACTTCATCTCAACCCTCGTTTTAACGCCAGGGGAGACACAAACATCATTGTTTGCAACACTTTCGAGGCAGACAAGTGGTGTCAGGAGCAAACGGAGAAATGCTTTCCTTTCAGCCTGGGAAAGGACTTCAAGGTATCTATCTATCTATCTATCTATCTATCTATCTATCTATCTATCTATCTATCTATCTATCTATCTATCTATCTATCTATCTATCTATCTATCTATCTATACAAGCTATAATATAAGTCCTCTGTCTCTCATGCCTTTTAGATTGTCATCAGATTCACTCCTTCAGAGTTTGAGGTGACTTTACCAGGTGGCTCAACATTTCGTTTCCCCAACCGCCTCGGTGCACAGGAATACTCGTTCATGAGCTTTCATAAGGGTGCTCGCATTCAAAGCATTGAGATCAAGTAAATCTCTTTCCTCTCTTGAATTGCTGGATTGAAATTTTTGTTTTCTTTTTCACTTTGTCTAGCAGCAGGTGATAATGTTGCTCTAGGTCTTCAGCTTCTTCAGAAATTGAGTTTGTTGAGAGCAAATCCAAACAGATGGACTCCTAAAGAATCATAACCTTTTTGTAATGTTTTGCTAGCAAGAACCACATACAGTACAGTGTGATCAGGTTTTCTTTAATGTGCCTTTAAATGCTTCTTTGTTAGTTATTTGCTATATTTTGATTCTTATCTGTAACAGCATCAATTAAAGCGTTTTCTGTGATGAAAGAAACACGACTCTGTTGACTCTTTATCCTTGTAACACTTACACAGTGAAATTACTTCATAGGTGAAACCGTCACTGCTGGGGTCTGTAATTTAACCTTCACATATGGGCTGTATTTAGCGTCTGTACCAAAGTATGAACTACAGATCAGTTCAGAATGTATAGTCTCACATTAATAAACTGATGAAAAACATCAACACAACATCAAAAACTCTTTATCTTTTTTTTAAAGATAATTTAAGTATTGTTGTTAATTAAAATATAAACTTAAAAAAAAAAAGGTCAGAGGAGGAAATACCAGTTTTTGAGGAGCCTCAGAAGATGATGAAAATGATGACAAAGTCCATTATGGATAAGAAGTAGTGCTTAAGCTGGAGCTCTGAAGTTGAATGATTTGGTTACTCAGCTGCAGCACAATGAGGTAACCTTTTGACATTCTTGTTAAGAGAGTTTTTAACTTCCAGAAGGGTTTATTGTTTTCCCATTATCAGAGACATCAAGATCATTTTTTATTTTGACGGACTTCCTAATCTTGGCTATAACTAGCAGCCAGTAAACCATGCTCTAGCCACAGATATGCTGAGGAGTGTTTTTCAGTTGTCTTTGGTTCTGATGCTACCTTCAGAGATGAGCACCTCGCTCTAGTTTCTGAAAACTTTCTTTTGGATGTAACCAGACGACCATCAGTTTGGAGATTGTGGGCAACGTTTTTCGTTTTTCCCCGGTAAAAATGATTTCTTAGCTTCTACTTCTTAGCCAACAGGCTTCAGTTTATCTCAGGATGGCTAAAACACACCCTCTTAGATGAACCTTGGCTAGATGTAGAACAAGCACTCTGCAATAATCTAGAGATCTCAGACCTACCATTTATCAGCTCAAACATCCAACGACATGAATGCTTTAAAAGCATCAACATCAGCTCTTCTCTGAC